AGAGAGAGAGAGAGAGAGAGAGAGAGAGAGAGAGAGAGAGAGAGAGAGAGAGAGAGAGAGAGAGAGAGAGAGAGGTGCAGCATGAGTTTTAGAGCGAGAATTAACTGTTTATCGGGCGTCCAGACGAGATCGGAACTGGGGGATCACTACAACAATGGCTGGTACAACAATTTGTTCAGGAGTCGGTGTCAGCAGAGCATTCCCCATGGACCGTTGGCAACGACTGTAATCGACAATGAGCTCTCAATCCGCAGTCCAGATTCAGGCAGGCCGCTCTCCGACATCCGCAATCAAGATTGCAGAAGCGGCTCTTTCCTGGATTCCAACGACGGGTCAGTGATGGATCCTCAACGAGGCGGCGCCGCCAAGGCCGACAACAACCGCAGTTACTCTACGCCGTTGACGGACGCCGTTAGCGGCACCGTTATCGATCCGACTGACGGAAGGAAGTGCTCAATGGAAGAAGAAGCTAATCTGGTCATAGGAATCGATCTTGGCACCTCCTGCAGCTGCGTTGCCGTTTTTCGGGGCATGGACAAGGTGGAGATCGTCCCTAATGAGCGCGGCTCGAGGGTTACGCCCTCCTACGTGGCTTTCACACAGCAGGGCGACTGTCTTGTCGGCAAGGCGGCGAAGAACCATGCTATGGGGTGTCCTCTGCAGTGCATATATGAGGTGAAGCGGTTAATGGGTAGGTCGTTCGGCGATCCGAGCGTTCAGCGGGACGCGAAGACGTGGCCTTTCGAGGTGTCGGCGGGTGCAGAGGGCGAAGTGCTCCTCGGGGTTCTGGAGGGTCCACAGCGGGAAAGATCCTTCAGGCCGGAAGAGATTTCTGCCATGTTTTGACGAAGCTGAAAAAGATGGCAGAGGATTTCACTAATTGCCCGTCCATCACGGACTGCGTGATCACGGTCCCGGCCTACTTCAACAACAGTCAGCGGAAGGCGACCTTCGATGCTGCGGCTATGGCGGGACTGAACGTGCTGAGGCTGATGAGCGAGCCGACGGCGGCGGCGCTGGCGTACGGCCATCAGCGGTTGATGGGCAGGCATCACGTGGGGAAGAAGATCTTGGTCTTCGATCTGGGAGGCGGCACGTTCGACGTCTCCGTCATCACCGTCAACGCCTCCACGTGGAGCGACGAGAGCAGCTTTGTGGTCAACGCCGTGGCGGGAGATTCGCATCTTGGCGGGGCGGACATCGACAACCGCCTCCTGCGACACGTGGCCGATTGCCTCAAGTCTCAAAATGGCGGGAACGACATCACGCTGGCCAATCCGAGGGTTCTCATCAAGCTGAAGCAAGCCGTCGTGGCGGCCAAACACAGTCTCTCCGGACAGAACGAGACCACCATCTACGTGGGCTGCGGTGAGAGCGAGCTCAGCTTGACGCTGAGCCGCGCCGACTTCGAGACGCTCAACAAGGCGCTGTTCGACAGGTGCATCCCGATCGTCGAGCAAGCGCTTCGCAGCGCGGGCTTCACCAAGACCGAGATCGCCGACGTGATCCTCGTCGGAGGTTCCACCCGGAGCCCGATGGTCCGAGAGATGCTGACGTCATTCTTCGGCAAACCGCCCATGGCGACGGTGCATCCCGACGAGGCGGTCGCGCTCGGCGCGGCAGTCCAGGCAGGCTTGCTGGCCAGGAGCCGCCGGTGTGCATCTCCCCCATCGCCGCGCTCGAGAATAGTCGTCTGCGACGTAACGCCGCTGAGTATCGGCGTAGAGAGCAGGCTAGGCGTCATGCACGTGTTGATCCCGCGGAACACTCCGATTCCCGTGCGGAAGACTGTCCCCTGCGCGCTACACGATAAGCAGGAGGCTATGGCTTTCCGCTTGTACGAGGGCGAGAGGGCCATGGCCCGCCATAACCGATTTCTTGGGAACTTCGCGCTCGAGGGCTTCAGTCCTGCAGGAGCCACCATGTCCGCCGCGAGAGTGATGGTGACCGTCGACGCTGACGGGACTCTACACGCGACAGCCGAGGCGATGGCCAACAACACAGAGATTGGGAGAAGGGAGGGGGTTGTGGTCGAGACACTGCGCGCCAAGATGGACCCATCAACCTCTGTTGCCGCAGCCATGGCCGCCGTCGGTAAGTCCTCGTCGTCGTCGTCGTCGTCGKCGGAGGAGGAGGAGGAGGATTCAGACTGCTGCCGCCATGCCCAGCAGGAGGCAGAGGAAGAGGACGCCAGGATCTGGGCGGCAGAGAAGTCGTATAAAACTCTGCGCGATCTCGTTCTTCGCTTGCTTAAGTTAAGGATCAACGATTGCACTAAGGAGCTCATAGACCGCTTATTCGAGGTGCGCACGTGGCTGATGCCGCAGACGGAGCTCGCTCCCAAGCACGAGTACGATGACGCCATCGAGCGGTTAACAAGTCTGGGGCCACAGGGGTCGGTTCTACCATTGCGCCTTTCGACTGAGGGAACGGAATACTGTTCAGAATGGTGGTACACTGACAGCGAGGATGAATCTGACCTTGATGAAGTGTAGATTCGGTCGACAAAGTGTAGGATTAGAATTGTGTTGTTTTTGGGCCTCGCTCCACTAATCAATACCCAAGGCGTATCTGGAGCTTCGGGGTCGTTCCGATAAATTGAGAATATTGGATTCCTCCAAACGCACCTGGTCCTGAAAGACGTCCAAGTGCATGTAGAGTGTTGAGTAGTGGGGCCACAGGGGTCGGCTCCACCATTGCGTTTTATTTTTTGTTTTTCTTCTTCCCCCATTACGTTTTCCGGACTGACGGAACAGAAACGTGCTCCGAAAGGTACACTAACAGCGAGGATGAATCTGACCTTGATGAAGTCTAGATTCTGTCGACGACAAAGTGTAGGTTTGATTACCTTGGCGTTGTTTTTGGGCCTCGCTCCACCACTCACCGCCCAAGACGCGCCTGGAGCTCACGGTCGTCCCGATACATTGCAAATGTTGGATTCCTCCAAACGCACCTGGTCCAGAAAGCCGCCCACGTGCATGTAGAGTGTTGAGGAGTGGAGCTAGGGCCTTCGTTCCTTTGAGTTCCTCTATTCCAAACTCTTCGACCTTGGTGATGACAAGCCCACCATGCCGTTAGAACATGGAAAGATACACAGCTTTTTTTTTTTGTCTTTCGTCCTTTGCGGATGTGCTGAGTAGTGGACCAAGGCACTTAGGTGGCTCCGTTACGTAGAAGGGGAGCGACCCTCCCGAAGATGTTCATGGGTCGTCCCACTAGCATTGATTTACACAGAGGATCCATGGTTTTCAACCACGTGCGGCGAGAGGTGACGTCCGGCGACCGTTGATCCTTTTCTGTATCTCCGGCGCAGGGCGATAAGGACCCATTTCGTGGTGGCCTCTGTCCGCCGGCCAATGGAGTTTCATTTTCATTTTATCGTCCGTTTAGGTAGCCACTTTCCGTTGGCGGGACGGTGCAATATTAGGGACGTCCGAGAGGGGCGGCGTTCTTGCACCGACGTCGTTTCTTTTTTTGATGTGGTAAAATAGAGAATATTGAGATTTCAGTGGAAGACTGCGAACAGGCCGGCGGGAAGGTCGCATGCAGATGTACCGGGTTGGTGGAAGTGTGGATGCACTGAAGTTCTGTCATGATGTCGATGTCAGGCCCCGGAATTTTTCGTTTTTTGGGTCCTTTTCTTTGCATTCGTGTAAATGGTAAAAAGCATTGTTTATGCGTTTTTAAATGAGAAATGAACGCCACACACTGATTTAATCGACGCTCGTGGGACGAGGCCCCTGGGCTTGTAAATTCCTCGCTACCGCCATTAGCAGACACTAACGAGCCAATTTCGTGCATGCTCCAGGCACGATGCGTTTAGACTGAATCTGGCCGTGTTATAGGTTGCTTACGTCCAAGTTAGTCCTTGCTCGGGGACTTCCTAAAGTTTTGAACAAGCGCGTCCATGTAATTGTCGGTTCCGTTTCGACAAGTGACGATAATAAAATTACTGTAAATAATTCCTCCAAAATTCCGTTTGATTTTCGATTTAAAATTCCTCCTCCTTTTTTTTTTTGTCGTCAAAATTAAAATTTCATTTTTCAGTTCAATATCAAAATTCAAAATTAATGTAAATGGTTCTTTCAAATTTCCGTTTGAGTCCGATTAAAAAAAGTCCTCCAGTTTTCATTTTAATATCACTGAAAACTTCAAAAAGCAAAAAAGAAAGAAGAAAAAAGAAAAATCTTACATTCTCTCTTTTTTAATTCTTTTTTTTTTTTTTACCCTTCTTTGTTGATTTCGTTCTTTTTTTTTTTTTTTTTTTGTTACAAATTTTAAACTCTTCCCTTGTACTTACCACGCTATCACGTTTTCTTTTTTCTTTTTATTTTTTTAATCCTTCTTTATCCGTGACTTATCGGACCTATCTTTATGTATTTCTATATTTATTTTAGTGACTTATCAGTAAATGGACCCCATGCCCAAAACTTCCATTCTATTACATAGCCTCCTGGGGAGACGTCCCACTAGCAACGGGATAGGATAGAAACGAGTTTGTGTGGCAGTTCAGTGACCCAAATCCTGCCGTGCAGTACTCGTGATCCCACGGACAGTATTTTACATGTATTACTCGAAAAAGTAAGGAGATCTTCGTTCCCCTCCTCCTCTCCCGTGCAAAGGCAGCTTCCCGTCAGAATCTTTTCAATCGGTTGGGGCTGTGGCCAACCCCAAAGGCGTGTTGCATGCCTGCACACGCAGGCCATTTTCCAGGGCCTGCGTCCTTCAGGCCAAGAGCCTGAACTTCAGGCCAAAAGCCTGAATTTCAAGCCGAAAGCCTGAAATCCAGGGCTTACAGGCCCCAGGTCGGTTCAGTCCGAAAGCCTGAATTCCAGGGCCTGCAGGCCCTGTGTTGTTTTAGGCTAAAAACGGCCGGAGCCCTTTTAGCCTGAAACTTAGGGCCATTTTCGGTCCTTCGTCAGACCGGCCTGCCCCGAAACTCAGGCACCAAACCAGGGTTTCGGGAACAGGCTATTTTTGGCCTGTTCCCACGCCAGCCTCAGCAGCAGCTGCAGAGGCAGCCCCTGGCACACTTCGGCATTGGCAGGAGCAGCCTCCTGGACTGCCTTGCCTGCAGCTGCAGGCAGTCAGGAGGCAGGCGAGTTGTACATAGGGGGTTCCCATGCACTTCACGGGCAGGTAGTTCAGTAGTCACTTGTAGTCTTCAGGATTTGGTGTAGTCTTCAGGAGCGCTGCAGGAGGCAGCGTTAGCAGCAGTCTTCAGCGCTGGGCGCTATAGCAGTACTCTTCAGCGCTGGGCGCCATAGCTGTAGGTAGGCTGTAGAGTGGAATAGAGATGGCTGGTGGAGACCTGAGGGACTTACCTGATGCGCCATAGCTCCAGCTTCATCTTCGAGGTACCTGCAGCAAGGCGACAGCTTCACAGGTCAGTACTGGACTGAGAGAGAGAGAGAGAGAGAGAGAGAGAGAGAGAGAGAGAGAGAGAGAGAGAGTGTTTGTCTTCTTCCTCTTAGTCCACCATCTCATCTCCACCCTCTCGTTATCTACCTTCTTGACAACTGCACACTATGAGAGAGAGATTGAGACTACGAGACTTGGCGACATTGGATTCAGATTCGACATTGGATTCAGACTCGACATTGGATTCAGACATTTGACGAGGACTGATTTGGGACTTGCACCAAGACTCGGTGTTGACTCCATCTCCATCCCTCCTTCGTCTGTTCTCCCCCTTCCTTCGTCTGTGTATGATCGAGACCTGGCGCACTTCTGTGTATGGCACCAGGCCTGTCTCGCCTCACAACGATGATGATGAATGTTGGTCTGTAACTCGACATTGGTAGGGATAGATCATTGATGTCGTAGTATTCTGCTGCGCTATCTTTGGTTCTGTGTGAAAGGTCGGTCCTTGCTCTGTTCAGTACCGGTTCGGTACTTCACAGTTTGCTATCTCGCCTCTTCTCACATATACGAAGTATCATTGGATGTCATGATAGTCCCTATCTAAGTTGGGATTCGTAACCAAGTCTTTTGCTGTATTTCAAAGTACCACTTTGCATGTATCAGGATGAACATTGCTCGTTGATATTCCGCTGAACGCTGTATTGTCATTTCGGTCCTTTTCATCACTTTGCGNTCAAAGTACCACTTTGCATGTATCAGGATGAACATTGCTCGTTGATATTCCGCTGAACGCTGTATTGTCATTTCGGTCCTTTTCATCACTTTGCGGATCCTTGGCTCATCTACATTGCCCAACTGGGCATGTAGCAGTTGGTATCAGAGCTTGCGCATGTGAATCAGGACGACCTGATCATCATCTGGACTTACCTGCGTAAAATCGAATTTTTTTTTCTTTTCCGGGATTTTGTTATTCTGTTGGAAAATCGCTATAGCGCAACATCTGAAACTTTCGTTTTTCGTTTTCCATCTGAAAAATCGAAACTTCGTTGTTGAAAATCCGGAATACTTATCTCATCAAATTTTCGATTAGCTGATTTCCATTTTTTAGCAGATTCGGGATTTTTTTTAGTTCCGAAAATTCGTTTTTTTTACAGAAACGGTACGGGAAATCCTGCTGGAAATCGCCATTCTTCCAAACTGCGTTTTATCCTCATATGAGAAATTCTGAAATACGCTGTCCATTATTTTTTTCGGAAACTTGTTTCTCGCAGTTCTGATGTTTGGTTTCACTATCTGAAATCGGCAGCCTGAAGTCTCGAAATTGGTTCTCATTGGATTTTCGTACTTCACGGGGTATCGGGAGACCTACTGAACTTACAAAAAAAAATAAAAAAAATTTGCAAGTTCAGAACTTTTCTTTTTGATTAGTGGCTCCTTATCTGGGCGATTCATTCCACCCGCCCTCCCCACCTATGCTGTTGCCCCTCTGTTTTGAACCTTCTTCTGCATCTCAATCCGGGTACCGTTACTGCGGCATTGTAAGTTGCCACGTCAGCAGTGCCACGTCAGCAGTTGCCACATCAGCAGTGCCACGTCAGCAGTTGCCACATCAGCAGTGCCACGTCAGCAGTTGCCATGTCAGCAGTGCCATGTCAGCAGTTGCCACGTCAGCAGTTGCCAGGTCAGCAGTGCCACGTCAGCAGTTGCCACGTCAGCAGTGCCACGTCATCTGGTAGATGCTTCGTCATCTGGTACATGCTTACACGCTCACAGACGGCCCCCATGGACCAGAAACCAGATGGGACGGCCGAGGCCTATCAGGCCCGGATGCTGCCCATGATTACCGAGGCTAAGTTACGCTCGGATACAGTGGCAGCTGCCGAGAAGAAGAAGACAGAGGATGCCAAAGAAGCACGTCTGCTGGCCATTGAAGAGCAGCGCCAGAAAGACGTCGCAGCAGCTAAGGTCGCCGATGAAGAACGATTACAGCGACGAGAGTAGATTTTCAATGGAGAGCGAGCCTTGCTCACGATGGCCGTGGACTGGCAGACTCAGGCCGAGACTGGGAAGATGGAGGAAAATGAAAGCAAGATTGCTCTCCTCCTCTGCCATCTCAAGGACCTCCTCGCAATGTGCATTGTACAGCAGGAGGACATTCATCGCCTCAGCAGTCGTATACAGCAGTTGGAGAAACGACTTGTTGTCGCCCCCATTGCCAGCGCCTCCAACACGTCTGACCGCATCCACGCCTTGGAGATCGACGTTGGGGCACTCAAGGACGGCGCGCAGATACAGCGAACTGCCACCCAACACTTGGAGCAGCGGATTTGTGCTGCTGCTGCCCATCCAAGTCCCGTTGAACGAGAAACGACTCCCAAGTGGGACGGACAGACAATCTTCTTCGATTCGTCAAAGACGGACCCCATACAGTGGTTCCGCAACTTTGAACTGACACTGCAGCTGCATCTCGTCAGCAAACACAAGCACCACACGTACTTATACTCCCGTTCAGGAGGAGCATGCCAGGCATGGCTGGACAATCTCTTGTCCAAGTACGGCGTGGTTGCTGCAGACCTGCACACCCAGATCAGTTGGGAAGATCTGAAGGCGGCGTGGCACAAGCGGTTCCAAGTAAAGCCGCCGGAGATCAAGGCAATGGACAAATTGCTGACCTTCGAGCAGGGCACGCTGCCAAGTGGTGATTGGATCACCGAGTACCAACGCTTGACGTCCGTTCCAGATCTGCAGATGGGCTTCAAAGCCATCAAGAATTATTTCATTTCGAGGTCGTGCCCGGCGTTAAGCAACGCGTTGACTCATGTTGACGAGTACCTAACGACCACAGCAGAGCTCTTCGACAAGGCTGCTCAGATCATTGTCACGAACAAGGAGGCCAAGAACCTTGGCCGTTCGTCTGCAGCAGGCCCGGGCAGAGACCAGCATCGGCCGAGAGTGGTCGTGGTCGCGGCGGCAATGCCACCCGACCTATCTTACAGCGAGGCCGTGTCTGATCATGAGGGAGACAGACTCGCAGCCGCCCGGGATGGTGGCCGCTCCGGCTGAGGCCGAGGACGTGGCAGAGGGAAGACACACACAATCGCTACACCCGGGCCCGGCGCAGCAGCTTCAGAACCTTGGGCCCACTACAGTCGTACAGAAGGTGCATACAAGCAACGCACCAAGTACCGATATTGCCTCTAGTGCAACAGCGATCTCCACACGACAGTGGGCTGTCCATCCAGGGGCAGAGGCCGTCAGGGAAACTGAGCGTCGCCAAGAGTGAGTCGACGACACTCTTGACGTCTTCGGAACCGGTCTCTGCGCACATCACCGTCCTTCATTCCAAAGCACAGGCGGAAGTCGATAGTCCTCCTCTTCTTCATTCTTTTGAGGACTATGCTGCTCGGCTCGTTCCTACGCTGGGTTCTCATGCTCAAGGACAAGACAGGTGTGCGGTTTCTTCTCCATCCGGCAGCAGCTCTTTATTGTCTTCAGGTGGTTCTTCACAGGATTCGGCACGCGAGTTCAACATAGAGGTATTGGACCCGCTCACGTCTGAGGACTTTGCATGGCTTCCTCTCCCGACCACGGGATGCTTGCCGGGACCGCAATGCGCAGCACTCTGCGCTCATCTCCACCAGTACTTATCCTTCTATGCACCACCAGCTTCACTGACGGATGATGGAGCTGCGGTGGGGGACATCTTGGCGTATGTTACCAAGGTGGCCCGCGAGTTTCGCACGCAGCGGTACGATGACAACAATGCACCGCTGATGTATGTCCGCATCCAGGTTGGGCAAGCATCCTCCAGTGCGTTGCTGGATAGCGACGCGTCTCGCAATTTTATGAGTCAGTCCTTTATGCAAAGGGCTGGCCTTGGCACACAAGTTCGGAGGAAGGCAAACCCGACGGCGATCAAGTTGGCGGATGGTAAGACGTAGCAACTTCTCGACCGTTATATCGGGGCCGTACCGGTGTACTTCGCACCTCATGCATGTGAGCCGGTGACGTTTGACATTTTGGACACGGACTTCGACATTATTCTGGGAATGCCTCGGCTCGCCACTGCGGATCACACGGTGAACTTCCATCGGCGCACTCTCACCGTTCGCGACGCCTTCGGCGCCGAAGTACTGTGTAGTATTCCTCTTCTGCACCCTTCGATCCGGTGCCAAGTGGTAACGGCCTCAGCATTCCGGGCGACTTGCGCTTACGAGCAGCCCGAGGAGATTGGCCTATATTTCCTTCGGACCGTCGCGGTAGCCGACTCTTCACCCACGGACTTGTCTTCGGACCCCCGTGTGGTACAGTTGTTGGACGAGTTCGCCGACATCTTCGAGTCACCTACCGGTGTGGTGCCGGATCGGCCGATCTCTCACGAGATCATTCTTGAGGCCAGTGCCGTGCCGCCGAAAGGTTGCATCTATCGGATGATCTGTTGGCCAAGGGCTGGATCCGCCCTAGCAGCTCTCCATATGGAGCACCAGTTCTCTTCGTCCGGAAGAAGAACAAGGATCTACGTCTGTGCATCGACTATCGCAAACTTAACGCACAAACCGTCAAGAATGCGGGGCCTCTTCCTCGCATCGACGATCTTCTCGAGCGATTGGGCGGTGCCAGGTACTTTTCCAAGTTGGACTTGAAGTCGGGGTATCATCAGATTTTGATACGCCCGAATGATCGCTACAAATCCGCATTCAAGACGCGGTATGGACATTTCGAGTAGGTGGTCATGCCTTTCGGGCTCACCAATGCTCCAGCGACCTTCCAGGCGGCGATGACCAACGAGTTTCGTGCTATGTTGGACCGATTTGTGCTGGTCTACCTAGATGACATTCTCATCTACAGCCGGACTTTGGAGGATCATCTTGGGCATCTTCGACGTGTGCTTGAGACACTCGGCTATGCCAAGTACAAAGCCAACCGGGACAAGCGTGAGCTCGTCCGGCAGGAGCTTGAGTACTTGGGCCATTTTCTCACACCAGAGGGCATCAGTCCGCTTTCGGACAAGATTCAGGCCATCGAGGAGTGGCCGGAGCCGTGGAACGTCACGGATGTCCGTTCGTTTCTTGGCCTTGCTGACTACTACCAGCGCTTCATCAAGGGTTATTCAAAGATCGCGGCTCATTTGACCAAGCTTCAATGCGAGGACCGGCCGTTTGACTTCGGTGCGGATGTGCAGGAATTATTTTTGGCCCTCAAGGCCGCATTGCTCTCTGCGGAGGTCTTGCGTATCTACGACCCGCAGTTGCCTACACGCGTCACTACTGATGCGTCCGGCTATGGCATTGGTGCTGTCCTCGAGCAACACGATGGAGTGGACTGGCACCCGGTCGAGTACTTCAACAAGAAAGTGTCTGTCGTGCATTCCATTGATGATGCACGCAAGAAGGAACTTCTGGCCTTCGTCCACGCTCTCAAGCGGTGGCGGCACTTCCTCCTTGGTCGCAACCAATTATGATGGGTGATGGACAACAATCCGTTGGTCTTCTACAAGACCCAGGACACTGTCAACAACACCATCGCCCGTTGGATGACTTTCATCGACCAGTTTGACTTCTTTCCGGATCACATCCCAGGGAAGTCAAACCGTTTTGTGGATGCTCTTTCTCGGCGTCCGGATCATTGTTCCACCGTCTATTCGACCTTCGAGATTGACGACGACCTGCGGGACAGCTTCATCCGCGGCTATCAGGCCGACCCCGAGTTTTGCGACAAGTACGCGAATTGCTCCTCTCCTAATCCGGCGCCTTCTCACTATTGGATCCAGGAGGGGTACTTGCTCGTCCACACACGGGGGAAGGATCTTCTTTGTGTACCGAGTGATTCTCACTTGCGTACACGGCTTCTTGGCGAGTTCCACGATGCACCCGCCACCGGACATTTTGGAGTCAATTGTACGATTGACCAACTTCGCGAGCGTTTTTGGTGGCCCGGCCTTCTCAGCGATGTCACACGCTATTGCGAGTCTTGCGAGGTTTGCCGTCGCTGCAAATCTCGCAATCACCGTCCGTACGGCGAGCTGCGACCATTGTCGGTCCCCTTGCGCCGAAGGGAAGCGATTGCCATGGACATCACAGGGTCGTTCCCCAAGCACAAGACCAGTGTGGATGGGATTCTCACGGTGGTCCACAGACTCACCAAGTTTGCCATGTTTTTGCCTTGTCGCTATCATGCTAAGGCACCGGAGTTGGCCGAGGTTTTGTACGCCGATTGGATTCGAACCAAGGGTTACCCCGAGGAGATCGTCTGCGACCGCGACACTCGGTTCATGTCCGATTTTTGGTTGGCGCTCATCAAGCGATGGGGCTCATCTCTCAAGCCCAGTTCAGCTCGCCACTCCCAGACTGATGGACAGACGGAGCGGGCCCACCAGACTGCACAGGTTCTCCTTCGCACTCTTATCCGTCCTGACCAGAAAGACAAGGTTGAGCGGCTACCGGATGTCGAGCTGGCCTACAACTCATCTATCCACCCGGCTATTGGGATGTCGCCCTTCGAGTTTGAGAACGGCTCGCCGGTCACTTCGCCATTGGATACCATCATTCCACGAGCGGCCGAGAGCGACGACCATCTTCTTTTCTTGCGTCAGATGCAAGAGCTTCTTGTCAAGGCACGCGACCAGATGACGAAGACGCAGCAACGCATGAGCCTGCAGGCCAATCGCGAGCGTCTTCCTTGCCCATTCCGCGCCGGCGACCTCGTCTGGGTTTCCGCTGCGGAATTCAGCCTTGAACAAGACATCTCTCGCAAGCTCCTTCCGAAATGGATGGGGCCCTGGTCGATCGTGGCACCCGCTAGAGATGCACCTGAGGGACCCTCCTTCATCATTCAGGTGCCAACCCATTTGCCCGCCTATCCGGTCTTTCATTGCTCCAAACTGGCCCTCTACACGCCAGCAGACCATAACGATTTTTCCGGGCGACGATCGCAAGACCCACCCTCTATGGATGGTTTTCAGGAGGTCAGCGACATCATCTCCCAGCGCCGTCACGGCAACAGGACGACTGAATATCTGGTCCATTTTGCGTACAGCAGTCACAGAGCTTACCGGTGGTTGACCCGTGCAGACCTCCAAGCGATAGCTCCGGACGTTCTCGCACACTATGAACGTAAGATGCAAAGCAAGCCGGTTTCTTCGGTTCCACGCCGCCCCCGCGTTCCGGTTCCACCTTCAGATCGTCAGCTTCGCCCCCGACCCGGCTTGACTTCATAAGGAGGGGGGGGTGTTGCATGCTGCGCCTGCACACGCAGGCCAAAAGCCTGAACTTCAAGCTGAAAGCCTGAAATCCAGGGCTTATTGGCCCCAGGTTGGTTCAGTCCGAAAGCCTGAATTCCAGGGCCTGCAGGCCCTGTGTAATTTCAGGCTAAAAACGGTAGGAGCCCTTTTAGCCTGAAACTTAGGGCCATTTTCGGTCCTTCATCAGACCGGCCTGCCCCGAAACTCAGCCACCAAACCAGGGTTTCGGGAACAGGCTATTTTTGACCTGTTCCCAAGCCAGCCTCAGCGGCGGCTGCAGAGGCAGCCCCTGACACACTTTGGCATTGGCAGGAGCAGCCTCCTGGACTGCCTTGCCTACAGCTGCAGGCAGTCAGGAGGCAGGCGAGTTGTACATAGGGGGTTCCCATGCACTTCACGGGCAGGTAGTTCAGTAGTCACTTGTAGTCTTCAGGATTTGGTGTAGTCTTCAGGAGCGCTGCAGGAGGCAGCGTTAGCAGCAGTCTTCAGCGCTGGGCGCTATAGCAGTACTCTTCAGCGCTGGGCGCCATAGCTGTAGGTAGGCTGTAGAGTGGAATAGAGATGGCTGGTGGAGACCTGAGGGACTTACCTGATGCGCCATAGCTCCAGCTTCATCTTCGAGGTACCTGCAGCAAGGCGACAGCTTCACAGGTCAGTACTGGACTGAGAGAGAGAGAGAGAGAGAGAGAGAGAGAGAGAGAGAGAGAGAGAGAGAGAGTGTTTGTCTTCTTCCTCTTAGTCCACCATCTCATCTCCACCCTCTCGTTATCTACCTTCTTGACAACTGCACACTATGAGAGAGAGATTGAGACTACGAGACTTGGCGACATTGGATTCAGATTCGACATTGGATTCAGACTCGACATTGGATTCAGACATTTGACGAGGACTGATTTGGGACTTGCACCAAGACTCCGTGTTGACTCCATCTCCATCCCTCCTTCGTCTGTTCTTTCCCTTCCTTCGTCTGTGTATGATCGAGACCTGGCGCACTTCTGTGTATGGCGCCAGGCCTGTCTCGCCTCACAACGATGATGATGAATGTTGGTCTGTAACTCGACATTGGTAGGGATAGATCATTGATGTCGTAGTATTCTGCTGCGCTATCTTTGGTTCTGTGTGAAAGGTCGGTCCTTGCTCTGTTCAGTACCGGTTCGGTACTTCACAGTTTGCTATCTCGCCTCTTCTCACATATACGAAGTATCATTGGATGTCATGATAGTCCCTATCTAAGTTGGGATTCGTAACCAAGTCTTTTGCTGTATTTCAAAGTACCACTTTGCATGTATCAGGATGAACATTGCTCGTTGATATTCCGCTGAACGCTGTATTGTCATTTCGGTCCTTTTCATCACTTTGCGNTCAAAGTACCACTTTGCATGTATCAGGATGAACATTGCTCGTTGATATTCCGCTGAACGCTGTATTGTCATTTCGGTCCTTTTCATCACTTTGCGAATCCTTGGCTCATCTACATTGCCCAACTGGGCATGTAACAGGAGGGTGGGGTTGGCCTTATGCCCACTGGATAGAATATTTTCAGTATTTTACTTACTGTTGTGCAATTATCTCATTGGGTGGAGCCCTCCTTCAATCATGGAGTATTTGGAGGGTGTCAGGATCAGTGCGGACAGAAGTCAAGTTTATTCCAGAAAATGTGGTGGTTGCTTTGTTCACTATTGTTGCAACCACCACCATCAGATCATTTGTGATCTGATGGTTGGGAAGCACTCTACTGTGATTTCGGGTGGGAGGTCTCTGTTTCTTCTTTTTCTTTTTGCCTTTCTCATGTTTTCTCAATCCAGAAATTTGTAATGAACCTGTCTGGCCGCTGCCACTCAGTGTCACACTTGATTTGCCACACTCCTGTCCGACTGTTGATTGTACCTCGCCCCTAATGAATCGGTGTCTGTTGTCCTCTTCTCCATCTCGGCTGAGGCTCACCGCCCAGCTCTCTCTCTCTCTCTCTCTCTCTCTCTCTCTCTCTCTCTCTCTCTCTCTCTCTCTCTCTGTGGGCAGCTCTCCCTCTCTCTTCTCTCTCTCTCTCTCTCTCTCTCTCTCTCTCTCTCTCTCTCTCTCTCTCTCTCTCTCTCTCTCTCT